AACACAGAAGAGAGCATACCACTCCTTGTTCAAAACCCTGCTGTGGTCCTGCCCAAAGGCTTTCCACCTTTTTATGCCCACTTGAGGAATCCAGTGCTCTCCCCTATAATAGTGGCTCGCACTGCAGGGATCCCCAGCTCAGGGATCTATGGTAAGTGGCAGCACCCTGGGGTGATTCTGACATGGCTCTGCAGGCCCTCAGCAGAGACTTTCTGGACCAGACGTTTGCACCTTCTATTGGTACCTCGGCCCCTGCCACGAATCCATCTCATTCTTCAACCAAAACTATGAACTTCCTCCAAGTATCCCACATATCTTCAAACTTCCGTGTCTCTGGTCTTCAGCCTGAGCACCCCATTTCCACTCTGCCTGATGAATGATTTCTCATCTGATGAGGCCATGCTCCAATGCTTAGCTTTCCTTGGTGAAGGCTCCCTTTAATAGTGCTATTTAGAATGAGCCCTGCCTTCCTCTGTGCTCTCCCATCAGTGTACTCAGCCATTTCTTGAAGGTTGACTTCCTCTGTCTTGAATTTTAATCCATTGTTAATTTTCAGTCTTCTTCACCAGATTCTAAATTCCTTGTAGAAAAGCTTCATATCATATTCCTCTTTACTCCCCTATGGTCTTCATGCTATGGCTTGCGTATGACAGGAGGTTCATCGCCTGTTGAACTTCCAAACCTCTGGCTCTCAGGGGGAAATGAAGGCCACTGGGGAGGCAGCAGAAGCTGCACTGGAACCTTCAACTGGGCCTTACAGCCTTGACAATGGAACTCAACAAAGGACAAGGACAAGTGCATGGCAGCCTGCAAGGAGGAGGGGCTACAGACAGTTTGTAATGTGAAGAGACATCCTTTGGAGTATGAGGGCTCTTGGTATACCCTCTCAGCTGTGCCCTTTCTGGAAATGTTAACAGTACTAGCAAGGAATAGAATTGTTTTCTGAGTTTTTAATTGGTTCTCAAAAAGATATGCTAGGCAGGAATCCAACAAAATGCATGTGTCGTTTCGTTGTTGAGGATGGCATTCAGGATTCCTCTGTTAACCACTGAGACCTTTGGATTTGGGAATAAAAGCTGACCATGGATTTCCTCAACTTTCAGAATAAATGAATCCTGAAATTCAGTTTGCGATGTGTGGAAAAATAGAATTCCCTCAAGTGAGGCAAATCTCTTTCCTGATCTTGTGTCCATACATGTCATAACTCTGTGGTTTCCAATAGTTCTACAATCTTATTCACCAAAGAAAGTGAGCCTTTTGCTAATAAGTCAGCAATCTGGACACTCTTGGGTAAATGTGTGGCTGGGGTATTCTGCTCAAAACAGAACATTGTCAGTCTCTTCATTTTTAGACTTCATATTTGGCTAGTCTATTCAGTAGATTTAATTATAATGCAGTTTCAAGAATTGTGGCAATAAGAGAGGACTTTATGTTCCATGAACATGCTAAACTTTGCTCTCAAATAACAATTTTTAGTTCAAAAGTGTGTGGGTGTTTATTTTTTGGAAGCTCAGGGTAGGTAATTTAGTGAGCTTTCAACTAGAGGTTGATCCACGATTTTCAGCACTTCAGTTGTAAGTGGCATTATGTTGGAACAATAGATACTTGCTTTTTGTGCCCATCAAAAGAAACTCAGAGAGAAGGTCCTGTGTATAGGTCATCTCCTTTGAAAGCACATGAATTTAATGCTTGTTCTAATCATCTACACAGGCACTTTTCAAGTTATTCTCTTTTGATGTTTGTTTTTTTATCATCTCTGCCATTTAGTTCATTATCCCTTCCTTACACTTTTGGTTTCATAGAGATCTTCATGATGAGAAGAGATTAGGCCTGGAGAACTCCCCAAGGACCTGGAACAGAGGCCTAGAACTAGCTGACTCTGGGAGGCAGATGACTTACCCACATCCTTCTTTACCCAAACGGGAACCAGCAATGCAAGCCTGGGCAATTCCAGGTGCCTTGACCCAGCTGTGTGTACCTTTGGCCAGATCTTAGCTCCAACCAGCAGACGTGGGCCTCAGGTGGTCTACTTCAACTCTTCCCCAGTCTTCCTTCCACTATGTCAGTAGGGTACTCATGCCTCTGCCCTCATCATCCCACCCCCTCTTTCTGCACTCCTGGGTTCTCTACGTGTCAGTCTGAGTGCCACAGGACACCCTGCACTTTCACCTGGCCTGCATGTCCTGCTCAGTCAGTGAACAATGCTCTTGAGCTCTATCAGCCTCTTTCCTCACCCTGGAACATAAATTGTGCCAAGATGTCTAGGGGCAGAGCCAGTGCGAAGGTTTTCCTGGGCAGCATCTGGCTACTTGGCAGGGCATGGTAGGTATTTGGCGGTCTGCTGAATTCAGGCTTTCTCAGCTGTCTGGAGTGTCAGAGCTCACAACCGTAGTTGACCTGCCACTTTGTGATGAGAGAACTGGGCTTCTTTGACACGTGGCCCAGAGCCAAAGCCCAAGGCTATCTTTTGCATTCTATATTCTTTTTTTTTTCTTTGACCCTAACAAAGCTTTATGCTAGTCAAATATTACCTTCTTTGTGTTTTGCAGCTTTTCTCAATGGTTTATTGCTTAGACTTTGAATAAGGGTGCTTTGTAGCATCAATCAGAGCTGTGTCTGAAAGAGGTTATTATGGGGTCAAAACTATGATGTGAGTTAGCTTGAGTATCTCACTTTAAATGAAGTGGTCACATTAAACTCCGGGCCCAGATCGTCAACATTCACAAATTTCTAGGTGTTTATTTGCTTTGCAAAATTATTTTATTTGTTCCTTTAAAGCAATAGTCCTTTGTGGAACATGAAAACTTTACATGTTCTCCCTAGAAAAATGTGGATTTCCTGCAGATTTCTAACAGTTTTGGTGGTGATTCGAAGATCCCAGGAATGGGCCCCAGATAAGAATCTTGTGTCTGAGAGACATTTTACCTGGGTCACTAGATAGGGATTGCTTTTCGTGTTGTTTACACAGAATAGTCACAAGTGTAAAACCACACAAGGCAAGGCACTGAACAAAAGGGGCTCATCTGTATTTCTAAGAATACTCAGAAGTTATGTGTAATACACTTTTCATATTTAGCTTTTAACACTTTAGGATTATTAGCAAGAAAAATGCATGTACCTCTCCACGCCGCTCAGTTTCCACTTGTGTTTCCGGGACATCAGTAATCCCCCACCCCAAGCTGCCTGTAAGAGAAGATCATACAAGAGAGAAGCAGTTTTTCATTGCCCGGCTTTCTATAGTTTGGTGTCTTTCAGAGTAAGGACAGTGAAATTTTCATAGGGTGACAATTATTTTGACTCCAGGCAACTTAGGGGTTAGCCACCTTGTTCTTTTGCCCTTAGACCTTTACCATTTAAACTGGAGGGCCATTCTAAGGTCTCAGATTCTATGCCACATTTAAATGGGTGTGAGGAGCCAAACTGGGGGCACATTTTCTCAGGCAGCATGAGATGGAGAAAGACCCTCCCTGTCCAGCGTGTCACCACCACTGTTAGTCTGTAATACTGTAGCTCAGGTTATCAGAATGAGATAGTCTACGGTCTCCACAGTTTATGATAGAGAACATGAGCTGAAGACCCACTAAACAGCTTCTAAGTTTTAAGACAACTGTTTTAACAAACTTGGATGATTCCAAAAGAAGGAAGCAGCTTTATAATCCTATTTTATGGCTGTGTAATGTTGGATCAGATAGTTACTGGGGCTGGCACGTGGCATGGTGGTTAAGGGCACTGTACTCCCAATGGCCAACTGCAGGTCAAGTCCTAGACCTAGTGGCTTTCTTTCTCACTTTCTCTCTCTCTCTCTTTCTCTCTCTCCCTCTCTGGTTGAATTAAAATAAATGAACAAATAAATAAAATTAAATAAAATATTTTTTTTAAAAAAAGATAGTTTCCATGTCAAAAACAAACTACAACCAAACAAAACAAAAAGGATAAGAAAAGAAAGAAAGAAAACAAACAAAACCTCCCAAGCCCCAATCAAGAACAATTCATACTAGTCAATTAGCTGAGCAATTAGAACATGTTCATAAAAATTTGTTTCAAGTTTAAGATTTGAATTGGTGTTAATAATCTCCTTTAAAAATAGAATGTCTGGAGCAGCAGGTGGCATGGTGGTTAAGGGACTAACTCCCACATGACCAACAGGGTTTGAGTCTCAGACCTGGCCGCTTGAAAAATCTCATTGGGTGTATGTCCGTATGTACTCAAATGAGGAGAATGGCAGAGAAGAGATTGTGGCACAGACATCCCTCTGGAGGGGTGGGGGAGGAATTTCTCACTTTCCTTCTCTCTCCCTATCTCTCTCCAGTGAATACATGCACCCTATAGCAAAAACCTAAAAAAATAAAACTGAAAAAAATTTACAGTATAAATCAGGGAAGGAAAAGGTTGGTAATTGCTATGCCGACTATCTCTGGAATAACAGAACTTTACCCGGCTTAGCCTGCAAAAGTGTTCTGCTCCTAAAGAATGGGAAATTAATTTGGTTTGAGTATTTACAATAAAGCCAAAATGATCTAAGCCAGTGCTACTCATGGTGCTGGTTTACAACAATACAAGGATCTTGCACCTAAATGTACATCAACTCTTGGTTTTCTTCAGAGAAAGTCTAGCAATGATAATTAATAATAATAATAACAATAAATCAGTTGAATCAAACATTGTGCTTAGTTTGTCATGGTTCGTGATTAGTGATGGTTTGTCACAAACTCTTCATTTCATCATGGATCATTCACAGAGAGTTTCAATGGTAGCTAATTTTTGAACCATACTCTGAGTAATACTGATGTAAACTTAAATTCCTTCAATTCATGTTCCTAAAAGATAACGTTTTTTCATTTAAATATAATTTAATAAATGAGTTTAAACTATATTTAACATTTAAGATAATGAAATTTTATCTTCCTAATTTATCTACCTGATTTATCTTCTTAACTCCTTCCCAAGGAAGGAAGATCTACATGTGTGTAGGCTGTATTCCTCCATGGACATTATAGCTCAGTGAACTGAAAAGTAAGTACTCAGGACCAGCAGGTGGTGTAGTGGTTAAGGTGCTGAACTCCCCTACATGGACGACTGAGATCTGAGTCCTGGACCTTACAGCTTGTTTTCTCACTTTCTCTCTCTCTCTCTCTTATCTGTCTCTAGTGAGCACAATTTAATAATATGCTGGTGGGGGCCAAGTTCTAAAAGTTGATAGTATTTAATTTAAAAACATTTTGTCAGGGGGCCAAACAGGAATGGTAGTTAAGGCACTGGATCTCACATGGCTGACTCCACAATTCCAGTTCTGGACCTGGTGGGTCGAAATATATGCTGAGTGTATATGTGTGTGTGTACCCCAAATCATAGGAAGACACTGTAGGAGAAGGAATTGAAGTGTGGCCATTTCCCCTGGGAGGCAATTTCTCACTTTCCTTTTCTCTATCTTCTTCTGTCCCTCTCTGGTGAACACAAGTACTCTACAGCAAAAATGAAAACAAAACAAAACGAAAAGTTTTGGCAGTCAAACAACACTCCATGATGCTGAAACCATATGGGGAGGTCCCGGGTTCATGTCCCAAAGTCTCCCTGCACACACCAGGTGTATACTCGTGCATATGCCAGTGGCCCTGGCTGGTTGAGGTGGGGGTTAGGTAATGGTGTGAAGACACTCTTGGGATGGTTGTCTCTCTCTTTCTCTCGGAAGAAATAGATAAACTTTAAAAAATGTTCTGGTGAGTACATCTCCATTATTTTTACCATGACTAGACCTGGAGTCAAAATATCATAAGCAGGAATCAGCAGTTGGCATAATGGCTATGTCACTGGACTCCCATGTAGTTGACTGTGGTTTGAGTCCTGACCCAGTAGTTTAAACTCATGCTGGGTGCATGTGCATGCATGCCCGAGATTTCAAGAAAATGGAGGAGAAGGGATTGTGGCATGGCCATCCCCCTGGGGGGTGATTTATCGCTTTCTGTCTTTCTGGCAAGCGCATATGCCCTATAGCAAAAACCTCTCAAAAAAAAAATACATATATATATATATATATATCACAAGCATAAGTTATCTTCTTAGTAGGGCATGCTAAGAAATTGGAAATTTAGTAGTCCATATTTCCTGATAAGTTGTGAACACTTGCTTTTTTCTCCAAATATACAAATACCTAACTTGAACTTGAGTTTTTATCCTCTGGGTTTCCTATGTAAATGTGACTCCTTATACCCTTTTAGGCTATATTCCTCCATGGACATCATCGCTCAGTGAATTGAGTACTCAGGGCCATCAGGAGGCATGGTGGTTAAGGTGCTGGACTCCCACATGGCTGACTGAGGTTAGAGTCCTGGACCTGGTGGCTTGTTTTCTCACTTTCTCTCTCTCTCTCTCTCTCTCTGTCTCTCAACTGTCTCTCTCTGGTGAGTATATGTGTCCTAGAGAAAATTTAATAATAATAATAAATAAATTTTTTTTTTAAAAAAGAACTAAGTACTCAGCTAGGGCACTGGTCATATAAATAAGAATATTACCATGCTGGGAACATTAAGGTATAATCAGCCTCAGGCTGCTTCAAGCAAATGTTGTCTGAGGAAACTTCAAAAGGTTTGTGGAAAATTTAATTTAAGTATGGGTTTATTTTGGTGCAAAAAATATTTGCAATCCAGCCCCAGTTTTCTCATGATGCACATGCTCATAAACATTTTGAGGAGCCCTCCTGTGCTGTGTGAGCTGTATCCTAATTTGTCTCTGCAACTTTAAAAAGTATATCACCATTCTGAAAATAAGCTGTTGAAGTAAAAGAAAACAAATTTCATTTCACAAGCCCCTGATGAAAAAGGAGCAAGATATCTTTATAGCCAGTGTTGAAGAGATACTTACATCCACATGCATCCAGATCTTGTACTTTTTGCAAATGTCGGCCACAGCTAAGAGTGGATCGAATGCTCCATACACGGTGGTTCCAGCCGTGGCACTCACCAGGAAGGGAACAAAGCCCTACATAAATGAGAAAGACCCACATAATGTAAAAAGGGCTTCAAGGATTCTTTTTAAAAGCTAATTAGAAAAAAATGGAAATTCTCCCCTGACAATTCACATTTTCATTTTTAGAACCATCAACAGGGGAGTATAAATCCATTCTAACACTCCAGAATCCGACATGTCCAGGCCATGCAGTTGACCTGACAATTGCCTTAGAGAAATAGACACCTTAGTTCTCAGAAGAGGCAGTCCTGAGCCTCGAGGCTGTCGGTCATATCCGTAAGCCATTTATAGATTCTAGGTGCATTTTCTGGCCTCTTTGTTTTTACCTCTCTTGTTCATTTTCTAGTCTTCCTTCTTCACAACAAGGCTTCTTAACTCACTAAATCCCCTAGTGTGAGCAGGCAGAGCAAAAAGGAAGAACTCTGAAATTCTTCCTATTTAGGAAATGCTCAGATAGTTCAGTTGGAGTCTTAGAGGGAGGATTTGCATGGGGGCTCACGAATGAGCCATGGCTTTTCCCATCTAAGTGGTCCTCTCCTCTATCCAGTCATGGCTAAATGAAAATTGATGAACATAATAAACCGCCGTTGGAAGAAGGCAGAAGAATGCCACGAATACGATCAACATAGTTACTCTTTCCTTAAAGATTCTCTCCTGTAGGTTCACAAAACAGGATGTCACAGATCAGTCTTTAGGTGGCAGCAAAGGTTTAATCTTGCAGTTTTTCCTGCTAGAAGGAGTTATACTACAAGGAGGAGGGAGACCTGCTGCCACTTCACAGGGGGAAAAAGCTCATAAAAATAATGATTCCTAAGCTCGTAATAATAAAATGCATGTGAATATTGTTAAACTGGGAATTATAGCCTTTACCTACTAAAAGTTAAACAGATGATTTAAAAAGCCAACTTTTCGACTTATGAATCATCCAAGCATGCAAATGGCTTTCTAGAGCTTTGTGAGACTCTTTGACAGGTCTTCAGAACCTGATTCTTTAAAGAAGAGTTGTAGGGGCCAGCAGGTGGCATGATGGTTAAGCAATGGATTCTCATACAGCCAACAGCGGTCTGAGTCCCAGACCCAGCGGCTTGAAAAATCACACCAGGTTCGTGTTCGTATGTGGCCAAAATCCTGAGAGGAGAATGGAGAAGGGATCATAGTGTGGCTTTGCCTCCTGGGGGAGAGAATTCTCACTCTTCCTATCTCAGTCTCGCTCTAACAAGCACACACAACTTAGTAGCAAAAATCTTATTTGTTTCCTGTAAAATATGACCTCTGGAGAGCTAATCATAACAGCACGCATCCAGGCAGGAAACATTGGCCCCTTTTAAACAACCTACAACAATAATTCCCAAATAATGACCAAATGCAGAATTATAGATTCTCATGAAAGCTGGAGATAAAGGATTTTGTTGTTATTGTTGTTTGTTTGCTTTGTTAAGGTTTTTGCTAGAGGGTGCATGTACTTGCTGGAGAGCAAGAGAGAGACAGAAAAAGAAGAAGTGAGAAATCACTTTCTGGGGGGATGGCCACACCACAATCCCAGCTCGTCCATTCTCCTCTTGGGTACACCCCTGGCATGATTTTCAAGCCACCAGGTCTGGGACTCCAACTGCAGACAGCAATGTGGGCGTCTAGAATCTTAACCAACATGTCACCTGCTGGCCCCCCGGGTCTTCTTTTGAAAATAAAGGCAAACTATATTCTCCACTGGGTGGAAATGGTGATTTGTATCCTTGGCTTATTTATGGGCAGGATATATCACCCTACAAAAACTTACTTTTTGTTTGACTTCAAGGATTCTTCTTTCGAGATCAGATGGGATCATTTTCCCTCTAAAAGGAAAGGTAAATATGTAAGAGGTTTGTTTAAAATAATTTATTTCTTTGTCTTTACAGTGTAAGTGACCGCAAGAAGGTAAAAGTCTAACCTTAACTGTTGATAATAATGGTAATTTAAAACAACTCCTGAGTTTTTTCCAGGAAGAAACACATTTGCCTCCCTGAATTACATGTGACTATAATTTTGGCACATTTGGGAGGCTCCTGACCCTTCTGTATTGTTCTCTGTAGAACAGCCATGATGCCCTACTCTGCAGAGAGCCTGTCTACGGAGTCATCCTCTTAATTCAGTTCAAACAAGTCTGATTTGGAAAGAGACATTTGGCTATAAAAGGAGAATGCAGAAAAGCATTTTTATTCCAAATCTAATGAATGGCCTTGCAATTTTATATATAGGTGAAATGCCAAGAAGACAAAAAATCCATTCTGAAACAGTCGAATGAAAATATCAAGTCAAAAAGCTACATAATTCCAAGTGCTAAAAGCATGAAGCAGGCTAAGAACTCATGAGCTGGGTTTCAAAGAGTTGTGGTAAGGAAAATGACCTTTTATATCCCTCAAATGATTCTCTCCTAAAATGAAAGGTCAGATAGTACTTTGCTTACTGTTAGAATAATCAGAGGATTTGATTACTACATGAAGCTAGAAGTTGCGAGATGACCGGTCTTAGTCAAGTTACTTCATACCCTGTGAATTATCCTTGGAAAATATTATTACTTATAGAGGTATACATACAAAATAAATTAATAAATGCAAAATGATTTTGCAAGTGCTTGACATATGGTAAGCATTCAGCAAATGTTAGCTTTCATTGCTGAGATTGTTTTTATGTAGTGTGACATTCCTATTTCAGGACTTTGGAGGGGGAAACAGAGCAGACGAAGTAGTCACATGGTACCGGAGATGGTGAAATATTCTTTAAACTGAAAAAAGCTCTCTTGAGGTTACTAAAATGGTTAAACTTACCACATCAGGGTCATAGAGCTAGGTTTTGAAAAGACAATTTGAAGAAATCACTTATGAGAGGGGTGGCTGTCATAATAAATGGTTGGGGGATGCAACTGGTACTTAGCAAGCAGTGAGTGGGTTTGGGTATTTGTCACTAGCTCAATGGCACACTGGTGGCTGTCCCTGAAAATCTACAGACCATTAGCCTACTTCATTACATCTTCCAGTGTTGCCTTGCCTAAGCTTTTACATACAGAAACATATTATTTTACTATGAATTTCTTCTCTAACATTTCTTTTTTTTTTTTTAGGTTTTTGCTTTAATGCATGTGCTCCTGCTGCAGAGAGAGAGAGAGAGAGAGAGAGAGAGAGAGAGAGAGAGAGACAGTGAGAGGAAAAGTGAGAAATCATTCCTCAGAAGGGATGGCCACATCACAATCCCTTTTCCAGTCTCCTTCTGGGATCTTGGGCATGCACACACAGCTAGCATGAGTTTCAAGCCACTGGGTCCGGGACTCAAACCGTGGTTGCCAAGGGGAGTCCAGTGACATAACTGCTACGTATCTGCTGGTCCTAACACTTCTTTATGTTAAAGAAGGGGGGGGGCATTAGATAGTGTGTAGATGAGCTAAATTTTCTACAATTTTTATGTAGATAACAATGGAAGCATGCCAAACTAGTTGGAAAGTAATGCAGATGTTGAATCTCAAAGCACAGAGAACCACTGATGGGGGTGAAACCGCTTTCCACAGTGGGGCAGCTCAAATGCAGTCAGCTGGGTAATGGGAAAGGACAAGGTACCCGTTAGGACTTTGTCGAGCTGAAGCTGAAAGGGAACAAAGGGCAATACAGAGATGTTTGGTGCCACAGGTACAGGCTGAGAGTCAGAGCTGCTCATCTTTGGGGAACTTCTGTGAGACTGCAGGGATTGAAGGGAACGTGGCAGGGTTTAGAAAAAGGAGCCTAGAGAGCACCTCATTCTCCACTTTTCTCTTCATGCTTCAGAGTTTTACGAGGGGGCATCCCTCAAAGCAGTGACCTTCAACCTCTCCTACGTCAGTCCTGCTGTAACATCTTGCTCCAGCCTTAACAGACACAAAGTGTTCAAGTTTCAGAGAAGATTCAAGTATTATATTTATCTTTACATAAGTTTTAAGAACATTAAGAGTGCTGTAGTATATCATAGGTAAAGATGGATATTGAAATTGTTTTGTAAATCTTGCATTTTGCCTACTGAAACACTGCTGTCTTGGAGAACTTGGGGTAGACTTTCTGTCCGCTCAGACCTTAAGGTAGAGGAAACATAATGGCATCTTTGGGCTGAATATTTTTCTTCTAGTCACATTCCTCCAACAAATGTATGTCTACCATCTGGAGGATGGCAGGCTCTGGGTCCCTAAGTTGGATGACACTATTGACAGTCACTATTTGGTCATCTAGTCACATCAAGACATCTTGCTAAATGTGAGGCAGTAAGGTGTCACCGAGAAGTCACAGATTAGGGTACATTAGAACGAGAAGGAGCTCAAAACCTGATTCTAGTCTGACCTCCACATTTTTTCCAATGGGAAACAGGCCAAGAGGTGATATGACTTCCTAAGGCCAAAGTGCTGGTGAAAGGCTGGGTTGGAAATTAGAAATAAAATACCAAGCTTCTGGAGCATGATTGAAGGGCCCAAATGTCTAGGAAATCTATCTGCAAGTGTTGAGACTTTTATGATAACATATATCTTTTTTCTTTTTTAAAGGATTATTTAATTTTATTTGTTATATAATTATTTATTTTATTTATTATTATTATTATTACTTTAACTTGCTACAGTCATCAGAAAGAGACACAGAGAGTAAAAGTGAGAAAGCAAGCCAGGTCTGGGACTTGAACCATGGTCGGCCATGTAGAAGTCCACTGCTCTAACCACCATGTTACCTGCTGGCCCCTATTTGTTATTTCTTATAATTTGTTATAGGGTATATGTGCTCATCAGAGAGAGAGAGAAAGCAAGAAAGCAAGCCACCGGGCCTGAGACTTGAACTATGGTTGGCCATGTGGGAGACCAGCACCTTAACCACCATACACCCTGCTGATCCTGACATATTTTTTTTTGAGGCAGATTTTTGCTATAGGACATGTGTGCTTGCCAGAGAGACAGAGACAGAGAAAGAGAGAGAAATCCCCACACACACACAAACACACACACCACCGCCAGGATGAATGGCCTCACCCTAATCCCTTCTCCTTCATTTCCTCTTGGGACTTTGGGCATGCATGCACACATACTCGGTGTGAGTTTAAACTCCCGGGTCTGAGACTCGAACCATGGTCAAGAATGTGGGAGTCCAGAAAAGTAACCATTATGCCATCCGCTGGTCCCCAACATACATTTTTTTTTTAATAAAAGCTTATTTGTGGCTATGGCGAGGAGATCCATAGGTCAGGTGGTCAAGGTTTTATAAATCTTTACAGATCAGACAATTTTTTAAAAATGATGCCGGAGCATTAGAAACTGGTGAAAATAGGTTCTGATGTTGAAAAGCTGCTCAGAACATCTGTTATACAAAGTTATCACCCAGACCATAGTACTTTGAAATTGGTCCCTAGAAAAGGTCTTCTTATATAAAAGATGCCATATTGTGATGCACCGACTCAGAAGCAGTGACTTTTCTAGGTTAAAACAAGCGTTTATACTTTTTGAACTGTATCATACATAACTGGCAAACTTCCTGGAAATCCAGACATTTTCCTCTAAACTGGCAGATTAAAAATGAATGAATTAAAGAATAGCCTCATGGGACCAGCAATTGGCATAATGGTTACATCACTGGACTCCTAAGTAGTCAGCCACGGTTCGAGTCCCAGACCCAGCAGCTTAAAACTCATGCCAGGTACATGTACATACATGCCCAAAATCTCAAGAGGAGAATGGAAGAGAAGGGATTTCGGTGTGGCCATACCCCCTGGGGGAGGTGGGGTTTGATTTCTTGCTTTCTGTGTTTCTGTCTCTCTGGTGAGTGCATGCGCCCTATAACAAAAATCTCTCTTAAAAAAAAAAAAAGAATAGCTTCATAATTAAATTTTACATTAAAAGGACATTGCTGAGAACTGCAGAAAATAGGTATTTTGAATAGACGATAGCTAAGAAGATATTTCATTTTCATTGCAAATAAAACTTTATAAAGTGAATTAAATGCTTACAGAAGTATATCATGTTCATGTCTCTGACCTTGAGTACTTGGTCTGACCAAAACTGTTTTGACAAGTTGGTGAATTTTCTCCTTATGAGAAATACAATGTAAAATTTAGATTATTAGATTAAATCAATGGTTAGTTCACAAAATATTCAACTGACCAAAAAAAGTGACAGAATGTGCCAAGTCTTCAATAGAAGGTGGCCTTTATTTCCCTAAAGAACTAACAAATTTTTGTAGCTAATAAATTACTATAGAGAACAAGGTTCCACATGGCTCCTGCAAACTAAGTATTTCAGGGCACAGGAGAAATGAAGATTTTCTACTGATAATTCAGCCTCCAGCAAACGAGCTAGCATATCTACTGAATCTGCTGCACCAGCGATCACACAGAACGGCAAAGAGATTCTAGAGCAACTCTGTCTGCTTGCTCCTGAACATTCAGACTGAATTTCAAGAATTTGAAAGAAACACACCCTCCATCAGATGACAAGAAATCACTGCTGGATCACAAGAAATACGGGAAAACAAGAAAATACCTCTCCTCCAAGGGAAAAGAGTAACTCTTCTTCATCCACAAGCAGTTCAGTGAAAATCATGGAAATGTCTGATAAGTAATTTAGAGCATTCATAATGTCGAAGCTAACAGAGATGGAAGAGAAGAGAGACAAGGAACTGCTAAAGAGAAAGGAGAAAGAAGTTGACGAGTTCCAGGAGATGAGGAAATTCTTACAAGATCTAAAAGAGGAATTACACACTTTACAAAAGACTCAAACGGAACTGTTAGAGATGAAGTCTATAATACAGGAAGTCAAAATCACCCTTGAAAGTATTAAAAGCAGACTAGACCATACAGAAAATAGAATCTCAGATTTAGAAGAGAAAATGGCTGGCCTAGAAAAATCCACTATGAAGACTGAGAAAATGGCCCAAAAATTTGAGAATAATATGCGAGAAGTACTAGATACAATTAAACGTCCAAACATCTGGATAATAGGCATTCCAGAAGGTGAAGAGACCCATAAGGACATTGATAATCTATTCCATGAAATCCTGCAAGAAAACTTTCCAAACCTAGAGAGGCATTCGAAGATCCAGTCCCAGGAAATACAAAGGACCCCAAACAGAATCAACCC